CCCTAGAAGATATTTCAGTCAAAGATTGTGTTGTATTCACCCCTGCGGTGGACTTAGACATAGTACACAGATAAATCCCACACTTGTGTGTGGTTCAGTCACGCGGACACATTCATTGAGAAACTCGCTAGACTGCATTTTAAAAGCAGGGTTTATGGTAGAATAAGTTCTTTTATTTTTAACCTCACTCTCTCTCTCTCTCTCTCTCTCTCTCTCTCTCTCTCTCTCTCTCTCTCTCTCTCTCTCTCTCTCTCTCTCTTCTCTGTGTCTCTAGCGTTCTTGTTTCTAGCTTGCTCTGTCTTTCTCTTCACTCTGTCTTTCTCTTCACTCTGTCTTTCTCTTTACTCTGTCTTTCTCTTCACTCTGTCTCTCTCTCTGTCTCTTTCACTCTCTCTCTCTCTCTCTCTCTCTCTCTCTTCTCTGTGTCTCTAGCGTTCTTGTTTCTAGCTTGCTCTGTCTTTCTCTTCACTCTGTCTTTCTCTTCACTCTGTCTTTCTCTTCACTCTGTCTTTCTCTTCACTCTGTCTTTCTCTTTACTCTGTCTTTCTCTTCTCTCTGTCTCTCTCTCTCTGTCTCTTTCACTCTCTCTCTTTATTCTCTCTGACTCTCTCTTTCTTTCTCTGTTTCTTTCTTCTCTTTGCCTCTAGCTTTCTCTTTCTCTCTGTCTTTCTCTTCTCTCTGTCTCTGGCTTTCTCTCTCTCTCTTCTCAGTGTCTCTCTCTTCTCAGTGTCTCTCTTTCTCTCTCTCTCTCTCTCTCTCTCTCTCTCTCTCTCTCTCTCTCTCTCTCTCTCTCTTTCTCTCTCTTTATCTTTCCGACCCCCCCCCCCTCCCCTTTCTCCCAAATCTACATAATTCTCTGTCCTGATGTCAGTCTTTGTTTTCCACTTCATGTCTGGTTGTGCTATCTCTTTTTTCTTTCACCGTCATTTTTTCCCATTCCAACTTTCCTCTGTCGTTACCTTTACCTCTCTCCCCTCGTCGCCCTCCCGCCCCCCCCCCCCGGGTTGGTTGGCTAGGTACGTGATTATTTTATTTGTTAGTTAGTTGCTTGATTAGTTGTTTTGTTTATTGGTTAGTGTGTTGGTTGCTTAGTTTATTGGCTGGTTAGTTGGTTGATTGGTTAGTTTGTTAGTTGGCTACTTGATTGGTTTTTATGTTTGTTAGTTTGTTGGTTAGTTACTTGATTGGTTGTTTTGTTTGTTGGTTTCTTAGCGTGTGGGTTGGTCAGTTGGTCACTTAGTCTATTAGTTGGTTAGTTCGTTAATTGATAAGTTGTGTAATTCGTTTTTTTTTTTTCTACTCGGTTGCTTATTTTGTTGATTGGTTATTATTTACTTTGCCCCTTAATCTCGTCTTCGTACTTCTACTTTTCTTGATAATAATCAATAGCCGTGAATTAACCTTTTCCCGCGAAGCGTCGGATCTTAATTAATCGACAACGTCGTCAACTGAATCATGCTCGGAAAGCCAGCATCTGTGTACATTCCCATACGTTCACAGCGTAAGGAAAATCAATAGCACGGTCACCGTTTGTGACAGACATTCTTGTCGCATTCCTCTTTCGTGTAGCTGCGATAGCGCTGCGGCCAAGCCAACGCCTGCTGGTTCAAAGATTATGGATTCGAATCCGCAGCGAGGTGAAACATTGTTTATTTTCAGAATTGGCTTCAGCTTCCAGGTTTTCACAGCTTCAAATGGATACCAGGTAATGTCGTGGGATGCAAAGGCGGCCGGTGCGATGTTAACCCCATCACCCACACCGAGGTATGTCAAATATGAGTCCGGCGTCGTTTTCCCGGTACGTGTCACTGTGGAGACAAAGATCTTTTACTTGACAAACTTATTGTTCTTTCACTCGTGTGCGGTTTTTGTGACCAAGCGGTCTGCTGCCCCCCCCCCCTTTCTCCTCCAATGGAACTTAGAACCCACACTGGGGTAGGGAAGGGTTGATAAAGATAATGTGTTAAATCTTCTTCTTCTTTGTTCACCGGTGGAAAGCCCTGGTTGTTCGTCCATTTGAACTTTGGCTTGTACCAGGGCCTGATTTCTGCGTGTACATCCGTTTTACTGGCTTATTTGCGTGAGAGTTTTTTGTTCCTTGCCGTTTGCGCAGATGCACTCCGACTTCGAAGGAAGTCCCCAGCTAGTCGACTCCTACGACATGCTTGCTGGGAAGCCAGTGGGTCTATTCTTGTTTTTTCCCCCTACAATAGGGCCGCAGCACACACACTGGGGTATTTTGGACATATCAAGTGCCATTGTGGTCTGGAGAGAACTAGGGTGTGGGGGGAAGGGATGCAGTTTCAGGAAAAAACAAGATCGAAAACAGTTAGCCGACCTCCACGGAAGTGGATACATGAAACTTAAAGCCCGGCTCGCTAGCGTAGTTAGTTAAAGCTGACTTCGCGGCGACCGGGTGACGAACTCCTTGTAGTCCGAGTTCACACCCGGGGGTAGGCAGAAAAGCCACATTTCTCCCAGATTTACGGTATCTATCATGGAATCAAGGTCCAAGGGTTGCAATATCCATAGTACCGAGCCAAAGGGTTAACAACTCATGGTTTCTGGATACTTTAAAAAAATGACATTGAAAATGCATTGGCTGTGAAAGCACACAGGGCTGGAAGACTGGCAAGCTGTGAACAGAGCGACGTTCTGTAAAGGACATGCTGAATGATGTTGATATAAAATGGTTCAGCTTGCATTTGATCATAACTGAAATGCTTTGGCCATCACATGGTTACTGTATTCCCCCCCCCCCCCTTTTCCCTCCCTCCGTTAGATTTGTTACAAAGCTGCTCAGGGCGGCTTTCATTTGTGCAGATAGTGATCTTTGATATGATCAATGCATTTATTGATACATTTTTCAAAGAGGAGCGATTTGTTTATTTTAAGATTACTAAGCAGATAGAAAAACTAAAACGTATCAAAACATCAGTGGTACCAAAAGTACAGTTTTGCTCGGCAAGGGACAAATAGTAGCAAATTTGAAAGTACCAACTTCAACAGCCCTGGTTCAATGTTGGCCCAGATAAGGAGTGGCGCTTACAACGTTCAATAATGTGAGACAGATGGCACGTATTCAGGTATAAACGGCGACACATTCCAGACGTAAGTTTGGCTTAGGTGTTTATTGATCGCAAATTGTGCAAGGCAGGTTGTGAGGGCGATCACAGGGTGTCCGCAAAAATGTCTATAAAGTGTGGTTTTTTAAATGTATATTTCTTCTTCTTCTTCTTCCTCTTCTTCTTCTTTCTTTCTTTTCTTTTCTTTCTTTACTCTACTTATGTAATTTCTCGCGGCATCGGGGCAGGAAGAGATCTCTGGAACGGACCCTTCTGATCGCTTAGTACTTTTCAGAGTTTCTGATATTTCTGCGGTCCATGTTCTGTGTGATCGACCTCTGGGTCTGTTACCATTGTATCTGTATAACATTGCTGTCTGTGGTGCCCTGCCTGCTGACAATCTTGTTACATGACCAAACCGTATGATTTGTTGTCTACCTATAAAGTTCAGGATTGGTTCAAGGTGTTTTTTTTTAAACATATATTTAACTATTACAATAGAAGTTATCCCGCCAGATCATCATCATCATCATCATCTAGGATTGTATACCTAAAAATAAAAAGAATCACCACCGGAGCTACGGAGTGTGTGCTCTGTGCTTGGTATTATCTTCAGCTAGCAACGGAGAGAGAAGACTTACAATTATTGGTACCATCGAAATTTAAACTCTGCTTGCTGCTGAAGATGAGATTATTGGAGTGTGTTGAGTAATATGATGTCGGTTCTCACGTCCAACTCATAATTCTCTATCTTCTTCTTGTCAAGCCACTTCCGAACATTCTTTGTTAGATACTCGAGCTGCACAAGATTTTGCCAACATTCTCACAAAGTACATTAACTGAGGTAATGGGGATAGACAGGGAATATAATATCACGAACGTCCATCTTAACAGTACTACAATCAAACAAATACGAGAATTCAAATATCTAGGAAGCATATTTATAGAAGATGGCAGACTATTTAGAGAGATAGAAGCTAGAGTACAGAAGGCACATTCTGTCACCTACCTGTAGGCCGAACTGCTTAGACACACACATGTCTCCCTTCCGAGCAAGACAGCAAATGATTAATAGCATCGTTATCACTCCTTTATGTTATCAGTGCCAAACATGGACAGTGAATAAGGCACTAGAACATAACATAACTACATGTGAAATGCGCTGTCTCCGTAAGATCACTAACAACATTAGACGAGACAGGGTTACGAATACCAGCATTAGAGAGAAAGTTGGAATAAGACCATGTCTGAATTATTTTAACAGACACAGAATGAAATGTTTCGGCCATATAGTGAGACTGCAGCTAGGCCAAACTTCAAATGGGACTTTTTACAGCAGAACATTTGAAAAGAAGGTGAAGGAAGACCAAGAAAGTCATGGATGAATGGTGTAGCCGAAACCTGCACAAAGATGAACAAATCCAACACACAGCCAACACGAGAAGCGTAAGACAGTTGCAGAAGACAAGGATACTGAGTACCATTCAATGCCCTAAGCACTTAACAGACTCTGCCTCCCCCGGAGATAAAAGAATTTGGTGCACCCCCCCCCCCCCCTCCCCTTTCCCCCCTGAGCCGTCTAAACAGCATTACGGGCCCCTGGGCAAACCAGTGTGCTGGGACCCTTATGACAACCACTTTTGCAAAAGTCTAGTTGCATATCCTTTACAGGAACGTTGCAGAACCAACCTAAACAGCCCCTGACTATTGTGTGGTTTCTACTAATCCGGCTTTGTGTATACTGTATTAACATGACATGTTTCTAGATGGATGCATGGATTAGTGACTCTTTGAATATAAATTTCCTTCTTTCGTTTGTTGTGTTGTAACTTTGTTGTGTTATTGTTCTCTGTGCAGCCTCCACACAGACCTAGAGTCGCCCAGCTACAAGCCCCTGTCCTTTGTTCCAGCCAGTTGCCAGATTGTCCATCCAAGATGGTGATAGCTATAGAGAAAGCAGCAGAAACTGTTGCTATAGTAACCAGGCCAAGCTACCAGGAAAAGTCTGTTTATTCCAATCTGGAATATTCTGATCACAGGTAATGTTAATGAATTAACAGAAATAAACAAATGGGGAAAGCTTTTTCTTCATTATCACCATCTTCTTCTCCGCGTTCACGAGCTGTAAACTTCGGTGAAAAGTTCTGGTTGTTCGTCCACTTCTGGACTTTAGTCTTGTCTCATAACCTGATTGTTGCGTACCTTCCTTTGTCAGTTTCTCATTCTCTCTTCATGCATTTGTCTCTGTCAGTATCTCTATCTCTCTCTGTTTTTCTCTATCTCTCTCCCATTCATACACACACGCTTTCTCTTAATCTCTGTATGTATGCATGTCTTTCTGCATGTTTCCTACCCTAACATGTCAATCTATATTATAACTACAATATTTCTACATATTTCATATACACATATGCTCAGATCAGATCATCAGGTGGGTTGCCTCTATGAACTCGCATGTCAGCAGCAGGTCCTTCATGGTTTCCCCATAGTTTGCCCTGTACACTTTGCTCTTGAGGCCAGGTTTCTCTTTGTAGTTGTTTCTAGATAGAGTGGGCAGATCTGCAGAATGTGTTCAGACGTTTGTGGTCCCCTCTGATATGCACACAGTGAGGATTGTAGTGTCTTTAGTTTATGCATGTGGTAGTTGAGCCTGCAGTGTCCTGTTCTTAGATGGAAAATTGTTGCATGTTGCTTTCTGTTGAATCTACTGATGAAGTCTTGTATATGTTTACTGTTGTTTCATTCTCTTCACAATTTCTTGTATTTTATTTCCTTGTATATAATTGCTAACAATGTTTCTACACATTTCTGGCCAGTTATACATTTTAACTATTTTCCTCTTTTATCTGCAGACGTCACAAAGAACAAGTTAATTTCCGTCCAGTTCTTCACCCGATACGATACTCAGACACAGCTTTTGTGTATCTGAACAACACACGTAAACGCTTCCTTAGCAGAACTTTCTACGAACCACGTGTGCGCCCTCAAAGTTTCTCAGACACCACATTTAACCGCCCAAAAACAGTCGAGCATCATTATGTTTCATATCTTGATCATCATGTGGATAAAAACAGGAAATGGTTTAAAACATGCATAGAGATTAAAGCGAAAAATTTCACTTCTGCACAGATTTTGCGGTCACAAAATAATAATTACATCAACACATCTGCCAACACAACTTTATCGACCAGTATTTCTGGTCCTTTATCCCCCGGGGGACTACTAGCAGAAAATGGTGCGGATCTTCATGCAGGTTCAGTCCAAAATGGTGGATCTTTTAAAGAAAAGTATGATCCTGGAGCATCTCAAGTCTTTATTCCCCAAAGACGAGACTATCCATTTGGTAACAAGTCACTTGTTAATGGGGAAGTTACCTTCAACTTTCCGAACAGTAAAGTTGATCTAAACTACACAGGAATTACGGACAACTTCTCGGATGTTTAGCCAGATTCACAGACATCAGAGTCATGTGTGATTGCCTCACTTTTGTATTTCTGATATACCTTTTTTATTTTTTTATTTTTCTCTGTACATAATTATTTTTCTTAACAAATAAGCAAGAGTTAGAAGAATGGAAAAGTTTAGGTGCTTTATTAATATCCTTCCCCAAACAAGGGAAATTCACAACTTATGGGACAATCTATTATTTGGGAGGGGGGAGGGTGATAGGCTGCATGCAGTCCTGTTACCTAGGCTGCATTCTCTCGTGGGACATAGGTGGGTTGGGGTTGGGCCAATTCTAGATGTTTTAGGGTCGTAAAAAAGCATTATAAAGCCAGGAAACCCAGTCTTACCACCCTCTTAAATGTTGGACTGTCCTGTGAAGTCATCTAGGGTAGGATATTAATAAAGAACCGAAGCTTCCTAATAAAATATGATAAAGTCAAGAGAAGTAAAGAAATACAAGACATGTCTGGGCAACCACTAGCATCAAAAGTTATCAGATAATGATCGTGCTATAATGGACACACTGTAAGAGACAAACAGAATCAGCAGACAGGCACTGAAATGCGTAAAACTTTGCACAGTGTGGAGAAAGTAAAACAGTATGGAGAAAGTAAAACAGGATGGAGAAAGTAAAACAGTATGAAGAAAGTAAAACAGTGTGGAGAAAGTAAAACAGTGTGGAGAAAGTAAAACAGTGTGGAGAAAGTAAAACAGTGTGGAGAAAGTAAAACAGTGTGGAGAAAGTAAAACAATGTGGAGAAAGTAAAACAGTGTGGAGAAAGTAAAACAGTGTGGAGAAAGTAAAACAGTGTGGAGAAAGTAAAACAGTGTGGAGAAAGTAAAACAGTATGGAGAAAGTAAAACAGTGTGGAGAAAGTAAAACAGTGTGGAGAAAGTAAAACAGTGTGGAGAAAGTAAAACAGTGTGGAGAAAGTAAAACAGTGTGGAGAAAGTAAAACAGTATGGAGAAAGTAAAACAGTGTGGAGAAAGTAAAACAGTGTGGAGAAAGTAAAACAGTGTGGAGAAAGTAAAACAGTGTGGAGAAAGTAAAACAGTGTGGTTTTGTTCAAACTATAAATATAAACATTCAGGAGAAAAAGAGTTCCTGAGACAGGCAATAGATATAGCATGTATTCTTACCTAACTTTTGAACAAACAAACAAACACAAAAATCCACATTTTGTAAGTTTGTCTATATGTTTTCTTTTTGTTCTTCTTGTTCACCTGTCCTAATAGAGCACATGCCGTCAAACAACTCATATCAGGTCATCTTATCTTTTTTGCTATTATATGCAGCTCATGCCCTCCATATCTTTCTAATTCACTCTCCAGCCCCCTTCATCATGTATTTTTGGTCTGCCTCTATTTCTATGTCCATGTGCGTTTCAGCGCAAAGACATTCTAGTTGTAATGTTCTCAGGTTTTCTCGACATGTATCCTATCCAACGCCAGCATCTTTTCATCACCCCATGATTCAGAGGAATTTTTAAAGTTCTCTCTCAAAGCTCCAGATAAAAGATTCTGACACTTGAAAGATCTGAACATCAAGGAAGATTGGCTAATAAACAGCATCCTGTCTCGGAAGTTGAAATACTTTGGTCATATCAAGCATCACAACGGATTAACAAAAATTATAGCAGAAGGCGTGGTACCAAGAATGAGGGGCAGGGGCTGACCAACACAAAGATGGACACAGGGTATAAGTGATTCCTTGAGTATGAAAGCACATAAGGTGGGACAGCGTGATGAGAGCGACGTTCTGCAAAGGACCTGCTACATGTTGATGATGTGACACAGTTCAGTTCTCACCATTCTGCACAGACATCCGTATTCGCTGTCTTATGAGCATGTGCGAATTCTGTGCCAACTGAATGTTGCGAGGTTTGTATCACATATTAATGCTCTCTTGTATATAAAACATTAATAATCTTCCATTTTTTATTTTCTTAATTATCCTAGGATAAAAATTTACCTAAAATGCGTGATAATGTATTGATCAGAACCAACGTTATGACGTTTCTCGGGGTGAGGTTCGATCGCAGCTTGTCATTCAGGGAACACGTTGACCATGTGATAACAAAAGCACGCAAAGGTCTATCTGCAATGAGGATTATGGCTGCTTCCAATATTGAGCAAAGACTACTAATACTTCTATTCTACGGTCTGGTCCTTTCCCCCATTGAATACGCTCTGGCCATCCTCACTGTCAGTGCTACCCAGATTGAACGACTCGAAAAGGTGCAAAATGAAGCCATGCGCATTATTTTGGGATGTACTAGAGACACATCCTGTGGAGCAATGAGGTATCTACTTGACTTTCCAACAATGAACCAAAGGATCAGGATGTGGAGGGCTCGGGCATATCTCAAAATATGGGCTGATAAGAAACACCCACTGCATCAAGCGCTTTTTAGTGAAAAGGGCGACAGACTGAAGAGGGGGAAATCGTGGCTAGGTCGGGCAGAAGATGTTATTAGGCAAATATGCAGCCTAACCGACATCATACCTGGTGCAGAATGGATACCTGTGCCTCAGGCGTTTATTTGTACATTTTCCTATATTGTCACACTCAACAGGCGATGTAGAGAAGAGAATCCTGTTGCTGTTAATGCAGAGGTCAACGCTCTCATCGGTGAAAATTCAGACGAAGCAGATGCAATAATCTATACAGACGGATCCGTTATACGCCAAAGAAGAAGCGCATGGGCATTTACAGCACGCTCAGCGGGCAGAACAGTCAAAGAAGCCAACTGCGCCTTCTCCATGACAACCAGCAGCATGACGATGGAGGTGATGGCAGTGACACAAGCGCTTGCCTGGCTTGAAACACAAAAATACACCCGCGTGTATATTCAGTTATTCAATGAGTATGATCCGGAGGGTTCAGGCAGGTTCAGTGCGAAGACAATGGCTTGAATCATTACAGAAGTCCACTGTTCGTGGAGTCACCTTTATTTTTGTTCCGGGACACGCAGGCGTCAATGGAAATGAAAGAGCTGACAGGTTGGCTGGATCCGCTATCACTACCGACGGTCAGCCTATGGATCATGCTGATATTATCAATGCCCTCAGAGAAATGGAAAGAATAGAGGACTTTGGTGGCAGTGAATCCACATCACTCGCCAGAATGGCAGACTTGGGAATTAAGATCGGCACAGCAAAAAACGAGACGCACACCAGCTACGCCAGAAGACTTGTTAATCAACATAGAACTGGTACTATTAGCCATCGGACGTTGGGGTTCATACTGAGGGGAGGATCTGAGCACCTATGGACATGTCCGGAGTGCAATGAGGATAACCCAACTAACTAACTAACTAACTAACAAAAATTTACCTCACAGTTAATTGTTTTTTTTTTTGGTTCCTGACATTGTGGAAACTTAAAAATTGTGTGTAGTTGTTTCTTTTTTTAGAAAAATTAGATGTAGATATTCAATGTTTTTCTAACATGTTATGAGAAGGAAGTGGCTCGAGACCTTGGTAAAGACTGCCAAGATTGATGGAAAGAGAGCAAAAGGAAGGCACAGTAGATGAAAACCTGGATGGCTTGGCTAAATTGATGGGGGAAGACAAGAGCACTGACCAGATCTGTGTTTCTGGTGATCGTGTGATGTTGGGAAAGATGACAGCCCATTCTTGTCCACATGGCACATAATAATGATAATAATATGGTTTTGTATGTGTGCATGTTTGTGTCTCACATATGCTATAATTAGTATACCACAATGAAGCTAACTATTTAAGTTATATTGTGTAAATGTTGATAACCAGTCAGATCCAGAATTGCAATCTGGTTTTTGTGTGTTTACCTCATATTCGGTTAATATACATTTCTTAACTCTTTGAGTCCCAAGGAACGCATCATACGTTCATAGGTTACTGCCTAGAAGCCCAATGAATGCATGATGCGCCGATTTTACGTCTTTTTTTACTACCCCTTGGTAGTAAAAAGAGTTAAACCTGTGGTGCTATTACAGAGGTCAGATACAAATGTCCCCATTTGGATTCCAGGGCCTCATTGTCAGGAAAACAAGAATAGACCCACTGTTTACCAACAACAACAACAAGCATGACGTAAGAGTCGACTAACTGGGAGCTCCCTTCAAAGTGGGAGTGCATCTGTCCGAGTGGCAAGGAACTACCAATTTCACACTAACAAGCTAGTAAATCAGATGTGCAGGAAAAAACTCAGGCTCTGGCACAAAGCTAAAGCCTAAATGGATGAATAACTAGGACTTTCCACCGGAGCTCACAACCGGTGAACAAAGGAGAAGAAGAAGAAGATACAAATTCAGACATGGAAATCGACTGCAGTAAAAGTTTAATGGCTGAACAGGGTTCCCGGGATTTTTAATTGTTTCATTCTCATCCCTGAGCTGTCAATACAATCCTGAAGGGACAAAAATACTTGAAAGAAATAATAATAATCAATTCTCCTTTCATTCACTCATTCTTCTCCTCCTTCTTCTTCGATTCAGGTACAGGCTCATAATTTTCTCTGATATTTGCATTGTTCTTTTTAACTGTGTCTGTCATTTTAATGTTCTTCTTCTTCTTTTGCGTTTCCCCTGAAAATGGCAGATTACACATTGTGCTGTGGTTTGCAGAAAGGCTCTAATATCTACAATTTTTAGCACAACATGTCTTCTTCTTTGTATTCACCGGCTGTAAACTCTGACGGAAAGTTCTGGTTGTTGTCCACTTCTGGACTTTTGTCTTGTTCCAGCAATTGAGTTTTGCATGCACATCCGTTTTACAGATCTGGTTAATTTTTATGCAGACTTTTGGTTCCTTGTCACTCAGGCATATGCATCCCAACTTTAAAGGAAGCCCCTAATTAGCCAACACAACATGCTTGAAGGCAGGCAGTAGGTCTATTTTTTTTCCCTACAATGAGACCCCGGAAACCTCACAGGGAATATCCGATTTCAGCCAAAAACCTATTGGTCACCTTTTAAGGCATTATTATTAAGGCCTTTTTATTGGGTCTTTTAAATTCCCTCATGCAGCTTTTAATGTCTTGCCTTTTTTTTTTTTAAAAAACCACTTTTCTGTCTGTCACTTCAAAATATTGTTTCGTGTTGATAAACGGATCGTGACTGACAATAATATATTAACAATATTTCAATGTTGCTCTAGACATTTGTAATTTCCAGTGATGAAGATTGTTTCCTTAATAATTTATTGTATATACTCTAGTATTTTGTTCAGCCTATTTGGTTTTATTTGTTTTAGTTATAATTATTGTATACACAGTTTAATTAAAAGTACAATATGTTGATTTATATTATTATAAATAAAAATGAAATGTGAAAATTAAATTTGTGGTGAGATTTATCTTTCTTTTTAGTTCTAGATGTTAATTAGAACAAGAAAAAAAAATTTCTAAAATATCTAAACATTAATTAGAATCAACCGGGCAACAGGTAAAAGTCTCTTTACACGACAGTGACGCATTGGGCATATGAGGCTATGCTCAGCCGGCAACCTTTATTGTTCAGGACGTTACCTGGTACCCTTTTAAGGCTGGGTCAAACTAGGAGCCAAGTTCATGTGTGAAAAAAAAAATCAGTTCACTGTGGATTTGAACTCTCGATTCCGCAGGCTATCATCAAGATGCTACATCACAACGACAGGGAACAATTACACACGCACGCACACACGCACGCACACACACACCACCCCCCACACACACACACACCACCCCCCACACACACACACACACACACACCCCCCCCCCACACACACACACACACACACACACATTATATATATATATAAATTAGAACTGGCAAAAGAATACATTTCTAGATATAATATAGAAGTGACTGCTGTACATATACATTAGAACTGACAGGGAACAAATGGCAAGATATAAATTAGAACTAACATGGGAACGAAAAACAAATGTTATTTTCAGAGGGTTACAATTCGGGCACGCAGGCTTGTCTTACATTTGGCCTTTCAGACCAAAATTGTATGTTATCAATAAAGCATGTTTATTTAACAACATACATAATGAAAATCAAGTTTAAAAAAAATACCAATGCAGGATGGTAAATATGTATAACACATGCATATCACACACTCATACATGAACACTCATGCAAATACTAACATGCACTCATGCTCATACAGACATATATGTGCACTGCATGCACATACACAGATGCACAAAGATCTAAACAAATGAACACACACTCATACATACGCACACTCACATGCATGCATAAACATACATACACCCACACACTTCTGCCTAGTCGCATGCTTACATAATACCTAAGCATACCCACCCATGAATTCACAGACATAAATCCACTCACATCCATACATACACAAACACTCATACATATCCAAGCATGGATATTTTCTCCAGGTCATGCTGGTGTGTTGCGAAATGAGCAGGCAGATAGACTGGTCGGTTCTGCACCACTTAGAGGTGAACTGATGTATGACAAGCTAGAAGTTGTGAGGGCCCTTTGAGAGCGAGTGAACAGTGTGGAAAAACAAATACATCATTACGGTCTGAGGAGAATGGCACTACGAGGAGTTCCCAGGGGATCTGGCCGACGCTCAACACTCAAGGGAAAGGCGAGATGAATGTACCCTCATACAGCTACTTGTACCATCAGAATTGGAACTCTTCCCTTGCTGCTGAACATTGGAATGGAGCACTTATGGGAGTGTACCGACTGCTATAATGTAGAATCTTATTTCAACATTTATTTAGCATGCATACACACACACCAATGCATACACACCTCCATGAGTATATAGCAAGACATCCCCCCCCCCCACACAAAAAATATAATTAAAAAGAGGAAGACAACAGATCCCGCAACAAGCAAAACAGTATAGGGATATGTTTTGGTCACAATGTGTTTTTAACCTATAATTAACTGCCTGTGTTATAATAATTCGATTAACTGTTAACTGTAGATAAACAATTTGCTTATAAAAACACACTCCAACAAAAAATTTTCTTGGCTATTTATTTTATAAATAGTTTTTACAATATTTTGTTTTATTCATAAATAAATTCACCAAAAAAAAACAAAAAACACACAGATTGTTACAAATACAAATGCTCTAATTTCAAAACTGCCCCACTCCCCCCTTTTCTGAAAGCTTCTCGAGCTTCCCCTCCCCCAAATCCCCCCCCCCCCACCCCAATCCCAGGTTGAAGACCACTGCTGTAGAAGGACAGATGGAACACCATCTATAATAGCCTGTCTTCTTCTTCTTCTGCCTTTCTAACCCCCAGTGACGCATAGGCCCTCAACCAACTTACGCAAAGTCGGTCTATCCTTCACTATCGCACGCCTTCTCCGTGTGTTTTTATCTTCCTTTATTTCTATGCCCCTCAAGGTTCCAGTGCAAAGACATTCTAGTTATCCTGTTCTCTAGGTCCCACGACTATATGCAGTCTACCTACCACCCCCTGAAATATTAGACTGTCCTGTGACCCGTGGATTTCCCCTGTTCGGGGTAGGATACTAATAAAGCACCCTGAAAGACTAATTCAGTGGGGGGAGAGTAGAGGTTCTGGAAGATATTCAACACTGAAGGAGAAACACAGGCAGACACTTAATCAGGTTGCAACTGGTACTATTAACATGTTGCCTTTTCGCTGGCTACTGAGGAAGGAGACGGAGCACGTGTAGGAATTTCCCAAGTGCAATGGTGTCAATACTTCATTAATTTATTCATTCATTGGATAATTGAATGAGTACTCTCATCATCATCATGTGGCCTGCCAACTGGAGTAGGCGCTCATGCGTCTCCACAGATCACGATCCTTAGTTGCCTAGAACAGCTCTCTTGATGATATCCCTCCATGCCAGCGTTTCAGCCCATCCAGCATCATCTCTCTTGGTCTGCCTCTTCCCCTTTTTCCACCGATCTTTCCAGTTGTCATGATGTTCTCCAATGTCTCTCTTCTCATTATGTGGCCCTATAACAGTATTTGTCTCTTTCTTGTTGTTGCATATAGAGATCTATTTTCATTAGCTTCTTTCAAGCAATCGTTGTTAGTTACTCTGGCCGACAAGGTATTCATAACATTTGTCTCAGAAACCTAATTGTTGCTTCCAAATTCTTCTTAGTTTGTCCACTGACATTCCAAGATTTGCTGCCATACAGCAGAACAGGTTCTATGTAATATGTTAGAGTACTTTGCCACCATCTGTTACTCTTCTGTGTACTGAGACAGACAAACAGTAGCATTTGTACCACCAAATCCAAAAGAGTTCGTCAAAGCAATTCTGGGGCCGTCTGTGCCGGCCCATGCTGCAGAAGAGTTAACCACATAATTTAAATCACATCCTGTTGCTGGACTGCTCAAGTTTAAAGTTGGAGGAACAGTTCCCGTAAAACACGCTAAAACAGCAAATACGGCTTCCAGGCCACCTGCGGCACCCAAGAGATGTCCGGTGGCACCTTTGGTAGAAGTGACCAAAATGTTTTGGGCAACATCCCCAAAGAGATTTAAAATAGCTCGGCTTTCAGCTGCATCGCCCAGTGGAGTTGACGTAGCATGGGCATTTATGTGTCCAACCTGCTCAAGTCTGATACTGGAGTCTCTAACTGCGGCAGCCATGCACCGTTTTGCACCGCCACCATCCTCGCTCGGTGCAGTTATATGGCTAGAATCACAAGATAATCCGTACCCTAAAACTTCTGCATAAATAGCCGCTCCCCTCTGCTGGGCATGCTGTAGATTCTCCAGAACTAGAACCCCGGCTCCTTCAGACATGACAAATCCATCTCGATCTTTGTCAAAAGGTCGTGAGGACTGTTCAGGCTGAGAGTTAAAATTTGTACTCAAGGCCCTCATGCGACAAAATCCGGCCATTCCCAGGGGAGTCACTGATGCCTCGCATCCGCCTGCTATGATTACATCCGCATCACCATTGCGGATGAGCCTCGAAGCATCTCCAATGGCGTGGAGTCCAGTAGCACAAGCTGTTGAGACAGCATGGTTGGGTCCCTTGGGAGAGAAAGTATCAACTAAAACTAAAGATAAGTATATATCATCAACATAAAGCAATGATAAAGTATGAATATAACATGGGATAGCTATAAAGATAAAATATATAGATGAAATTTAACAGAAAATAATAGATACTGATAAAACACACACACACACAAACAATGATAACATTAAAATATCAGAAAACAATATATACAATCTTTTATTCTTCTTAGCTTTCATGGCTCTAGACTGGCAGAAATTTCTGGTTGTTTGTCCACTTCTGGACTTTTGTTTTGTTACAGAACTTGAGATTCGTGGGGACATCCGTTTTGCAGATCTGGCTTATTTGTGTGCAGACTCCCCCCCCCCCCATCCCCCATCACTCCCCTTCCCTTTTGGCTGTCTTGTTTAGAAGGGGGTGGGAGGAACACTGTTGGATCCTTGCCTCTCAGGCAGATGCACTCTGACTTCAAAGAAAACTCCCAATTAGTCAACTCTCACGGCACAAGCTTTTGTGTAGACAGTGGGTCTATTCATGTTTTCCCCACCGTGGGGTCCCAGAAATCATATGGGGATGCTAGTAAATAAGCAGGGAGGAGAGGAAGAGGTTCCTGAGATGGATCCATCTGGTGTAAGATGCTTATTTATACTATTAAAAACATTCGGATCAATGTTGTCTCAAGAACTCATCTTCAGCATCTCTCAATGCCTTCAAGCAGACATCAATGGAAAATTCCCTTGCTTGTTAAGGAGGCTAGGGGCTATTTCACTCTCTCCTAAAATGAGACTGAGGAATCCACGGGGGGAGGGGGGGGGATTGTTTCCAGTACAGTGCAGACCGCTAAAGGTAATCTCGGATGTGGTGAATTTCTGTTGTGAAGAACAATTTGTCTATCCCCAGCAATTTTTCTTTCCTGAATTCTTACCTGGATGAGACTAATTTCTGATAAGAAAAACCATTTATTTGGTCCTCTGTGAGTTCTCCTTCTCAGGTCTGCAGTGCATTTGTTATATCACTTAGAGATTTTTCTGTGTGAGTTCCGGGCAGGTCCCATTTTGAGGAAAAAAATAGACCCACTGTCCCCAACAAGACAAGCAATCAGAAAAAAAAAAAAGGGGAGGAAGGGGGTGTCTTTTGAAGTTAAGAGTATCTGCCTGAGAGATGATGAATAAACAGTCTGCACACAAATAAGGCAGATCTGTAAAACGGATGTGCTCACAAATCTCAAGTTCTAGAGCAAAACCAAAGTCTAGAAGTGGACAAACAACCGGAACTTTCCATCAGAGTTTGCAGCAGGGGAAAGTGAAGAATAAAAACTGTTTCCCATGTGACCCATTTTTTTTAATCATTCACATATGCTGAATATGTATGTATGTGTATTTATATGTGTATGTATGTGTGTGTGTGTATATTTATATATTTGCCAGCATGATTTTGCCCTCTCTGGTTTTCAGACTTGTTAGGTCAGTGCTCTAGTTACAGAAGTCATTATTTTTGTGTGGATTCACTGGCTTTTTTGTGTGTTGTCTTATTTTCAAATTTGTGTTAGAACTTCTTACTTTGGTTTTGACAGTGGTATCCAGAGTTGACTATTCAGAAAGCAATGGCAAACTAATAAAGGTAAATTTACCTTTAAAAAAAAAAATAAAAAATAAAAAAAAACCAATGTTGATTCTGCAATGTCCTGTAAACCATATGCAACTAACTTGTTTAAAAAAAAAATTCACACCTCAATTCTTTTGCCTCCTTACGTAATTTTCTAATTTTCTTTCGGCTCCTTTTTCTGGTGTGTGGTTACCCTTGTTGTTTCTTCTTTTTCTCCTATTATTTTTCAGAAGTTGTTCATTTCCTATGGCCCAAAATGTGGTATGGGGCGTCGCAGGTTGACCCAGCCTAAAATGGGTACCAGGATGGCTGTTCTGGGGAAGTAAAGACGGCCGGGGTAATGCTGACCACATTACCATCCTAGTGCTGATAGTCTGTAAAAATTGTGGTGCTCTTCCCATATACTCGATACGCCTAAAGGGGTGAAAAGAATCTTTACTTTACGTTATGGCCCAAAATGTTCCAAAATACTAACCGTAAATCCATATGCTAAACTGACATGACCAGCGGCCATATTGATGAGAATTCTGGGAATGAACCAAGGGGACATTTTGCGATAGTTTCCCTGCCTCAAATGTTCTGCTGCATCACCAATTTCCTCCAGCGGAACCATACCAGTGCCAATACAGACTCCTGAAGGAAATGAAAAAATAAAAAATAAACTAGGAATTAGTTCTTCTCAACTTTTTCACTTCCGCTTTTACCACTTCCGGTGTCGAGCGAGTCTTCTGGCTGCCTCAACACATAGACACATCGTTTCTCTGATGTAATTTTTCCATCCTATTCTTGGTCTATCAGGGCCGCGTTAGAGCATATGAGACTTGCTTTCAAATCCAGCTGCGACTCACTGCAGTCCATAGTGTTTGAAATCAAACGGCTCCTGGGGTTCACCCAGCCTCTAGGAAATGGGTACCAGAGTTAACATTCTAGGGTAAATGGAGGAACGTCGCTGTAGCTACGGATTTTTATGCGTACGGCGACACAGGTGGACAGTTTCTTATCAGCTTGTCAGTACTGGTGGCAGAGCACTTATGGTTTATAACCGCGTGCAATGACGCTGGTTCACATCTCCTGACTTTACCTCTACCTTGGTCTATCTTGCACTTGATGTCCTTCTCCTCTTTTGGTTGAATGCCTTGTATGGAAGGGCATCACAAGGCATTCTCTCTGAGAGGAGAAACCGTTTGATTTGCTATCTGTGAATGTAATGTAGTACTGGTTCTGTGCCAACTTTTTCTTTTATGACTCCATTCCTGATTTTTATCTCTTCTGGTCAATCCTACAGTCTTTCTCAGACACCTCATTTCTATGGTTATTACGTTTCTTTTCTGGTTTGATTTACATGTTTTGATTTAAAAAAGAACTGGAACTTTTATTTTATGTCACCTACACTGCAGCTGAGAGTCATCGTGGTGTAAGGGCTAGACACTCGCTTGCGGATCAGAAGATCGTGGGTTTGGGTCCTGACACAGCCATACTTCTTTTTAAACGACCTCAGCTCCCAGGTCGACCCAGGCTAGAGTGGGTACCAGTTGCAGTCCTGGGAAGTAGAAGTAGCCGGCCTGATGCTGACCATATAATTCCCAAGTTCTGATCAGAACCCGAAGGGGTCTGTCTGCATCCGGGGATACCGCTGGTCTATAAAATATAGGTCTAGCCTTGTATGCCCAATATGCCTAAAGGTGTGGAACAGTTTTTTTTTACTTACTTTGCAGATACAGGTAATCTATTTCAAGTGAACAAGAGAAGAAAAAAGAGGAAGCAGGTGTTTTTTTTTTTTAATATTCTTCACGCCTCAATTCTTTTGCCTCCTTACATAATTTTCAAATTTTCTTTCAACCTCTGTTTTTCTAGTGTGTAGCTACACTTGTTGTTTCTTTTTATTTTGAGTAATGGAACTCCCAGTGTGGGTTTGGGTCTCCCATCCCCCCCCCCCCCAATATCATCTTGTAAACAGTCTACTAATTAGCAGTTTTCCTTTGAAGCTGAAGTGCATTTGCCTGAAAGATGAAGAACCAACAGTCTGCACACATATATGCCAGAACTGTCAAACGACGCAATATTCAAGTTCCGGAACAAGACTGAAGTCCAGAAGGGGATGAACAACCAGAAATTGCCGCTGGAAGTTACAACCAGTGGAGGCTAAGAAGAAGAAGGAAGAGCTCTAAACCTTCAGAATACTTCTTCTTCATATTTACCGGCGGAAGTCATCACACACTGTTATATCATAACCACTTAGGACCCTGACATTCGTACATTCTGGACTCTGCTTGTACTTCAGAACTTGAGTTTTGCATGCATATCTGCTTTAAAGATTGGACTTATTTGTATGCAGACTGATGGTTCCTCCTCACTCAGGCAGATGCACTTCGACTTCAAAGGAACCACCACTAATTAGTTTACTTTTATGACATGCCTGTCGAGGGGGGATTATTCTTTTTCCTCACCAAATGGCACCCTGGAGCCTGCATTGGGATCCCTCAGAATACAAGGCAAATGACCTACCCACTCCACCACAGCGATCCCTTCCCCTGAAAAGTAACAACATACAATAATTCAAATAAAGAACCTGCCTGTACGTTCCTTGTCCTTCTCATTTTCAGGTTTCCATTTTGCCATCGTCAGAGCTTCCTCCGCGGATGCCAGACAAAACTGGGTAGCTGAGGTAATGGCTCTGCCATCAATCTTCGGACATAGTTCAATGTTGAATAAGCCTTTGGATGTCCCTCGGGGAACCAGACCAGCTACTTTGCTAGGTATCTGTTCAAACTCTATAAACAAAGCATTAAAAAAAGGTCAAACAGGCAATAAAAGAAATATTATTTAGATGAAGGTATGCAGAACCAAGACCAGCTCCAGCTGACGGGCCATGTTGCTAACGTCAGCAAACCGGGCTAAGGATATGTTAACGTGGAATTTCGCAAACATTGTGCGACACACCTGCCCAGAGAGCAGTTTGAATAAAGAAAGACAAAAAAAAAACTGCAAATTTAATGTCAAGCAGATTCAGAAAAATTCTTAATTATTGCCGCGACACTCCTGACATACGCTCACGACACCCAGTTTGAGAATCACTGTCTTAACATATCCTTAGCCCGGTTTGGTGACATCATGAGCATGTCCCATTAGCCGGAGCTGGTTTTGGCTAAACACTGATACCTGCTAGGCTCAGAATAACTATCAATAAAGTGATTTTCCAAAAAAGAAACATGTGGCTTGATCACCATGGCAAGATTGTATGGCAGTGATAAGATATTTACATGGTCAGACCTACTGAAATTGAGTCGGACTGGTTTGAGTGCCTCCTTGTGAACATCCAAGAGATGTCAATGGAACCAGTTATCTAGCTTCCTATCAGTTTCGCCAATGTATTCCTTTTCCCCCCTCTTTTAAAAAAGACAGCAAAGACTGAGTTTCAGGATTTGCAAGAATGTTTTTCTTTTTCTGGAATGAACCAATTAGGAAACTGACTGATGAGATCTGGATGATGAACGGGTATATTTTACACCCGAGGGGAGGGGGGGGGGGGGGGCATTCCATAGTTGCAAAAGAAGGTGTTGTGTTTTGGGATGAAAAATGAGGTCTTTCTTCGGAAGTTTACAGCTGGTAAACGAGAATAAGACATCAACCTAAAAAGAAGACATCCTGATCCCCCAGCAACCTCAAAAAGTTAATAATTAGAGAATTATTTTATGAATTAAAAACAAAAACAAAGTACCTTTCCCTAAAAGGGATGTAATTCCACACTTCCCTTCCAGCAATCTTTGCCATACATAATGTGTTCCAGTTCCTAGACAGGATACGACACCCATCCCCGTGACAACGACTCTGTGAGCTGGTTTCAACGCCATCTACTGATCAGATTATTAAAGAAAGAGACTGAAAACAAGCAATTAGATGTGAACAAAAACAAATTTTTGAAGAACTAAACATACAGTTCAGGCCGCTTGTGGCGATCTCTGATGTTACCACAACTGACATCCTGCACATTGAGCATTTCCATGCTTGCTCAGTCCTCCAATGCAGCAGCAACTCTAAGGAAGGTACTAGTTGTTCCCGTGAGAGATTAGTTATAATGTCTCCTATCTCAAACTCGAAGGCGGCATGAATGTACTTCACCATGCTTTGCTTGCATGTCATGCAAACGTGTTAGTTTCAGAGATTCATCATTACTCACTATCCCAGTCCGTACAGCGTTAATGATATCTGCTCTGCCCATGTTTCTTCCCACATGTGTTGGTGCACTGCTTGCCAGTTAGTCCGCTCGCTCATTACCTTTCACGCTAGCATGACCAGGTGCGTAGACTCGACAAGGAAGGTTAAGTGGGATTTTTCAATGCTTTCTACCCATACAGAGTGAATACCGCCTGTTGCTATCTTCTGAAGCATGTTCATGGAGTCTGATACAATTACTGCGTGTGTGGCTGTTTGCTCTGCTGCCCATGTGAGTGCTCTGGAAGCAGGGGTTATCTCCATGGTGATGTTGATGTAGTTGCCTGGTAAGCGCCTCTTTTACTGTTTTCCCTATCCTTTTTGCTGTGTATGTCCACTGGACCTTGATCCACGCTTGACAGATTCATCTGTGTAGATGATGTCATATGATGATGTCTCCAGCAATGTTTCTTGCTTGAAATCTTATCTGCATACGAGGAACTTCTGTTAAGAAGAATCATTTCTTGGGTCCCTTGTGAACTCTGCTTATCAGGTCTGCACTGTATTTGCTTTGAAAGAAGCCACAGATAGGATAACCACAGACCATTTCACATTTACTCATCCACCTAAGGTAGACCACAAAATATTTTCTAATCCCCAGGTGCCCTAATACAACTTCTGGTTTCTGAGATTTATAACTGTTTAATTGTCATCCACAGACCATTTCACATTTACTCATCCACCTAAGGTAGACCACAAAATACTTTCTAATCCCCAGGTGCCCTAATACAACTTCTGGTTTCTGAGATTTATAACTGTTTAATTGTCATCCACAGACCATTTCACATTTACTCATCCACCTAAGGTAGACCCCAAAATAATTTCTAATCCCCAGGTGCCCTAATACAACTTCTGGTTTCTGAGATTTATAACTGTTTAATTGTCATCCACAGACCATTTCACATTTACTCATCCACCTAAGGTAGACCCCAAAATACTTTCTAATCCCCAGGTGCCCTAATACAACTTCTGGTTTCTGAGATTTATAACTGTTTAATTGTCATCCTTGATGATGTTAATTCTTATCTAAAAGCAAGTGAAGTAAAGAACTCTTTCCCCCGCCTTCAGTCGTGCTGGGCACATAGAGCTACAACTATATTTTACAGACCAATCCGCACTTTGTGGGTGATGTGGTCAATATCACGCTAATCGCATTTATTTCCCACGACTTTACCTAGCACCCATTTAAGGCTGATTAAACCTGGCAGCCAGTCATTTTTGACAAAAGTTTTTTAAAAAGTGATAAATATACATATAACCTCCAATTTTGAAATTTAAAAAGAAAACCCTATACATGTAAATTGATTCCTGTCTTAATGCTGGGCGCAATTTTTGTGTATGGTAATTTTAAAGCCCAATCCAAGTTGTTGGGGGGGGGGGGGGGGGAGGCTTAATATAACCTATAGGTTGAACAGGGTTTCTGGGACTTGTGCTCAGGTAATTCTCATCCAAATGGTGTCACAGAATGTTTAGTAGTCATTGTACAACAGTCCTGTTGGGGTTAAATATCAGCCAGTCATACATGTATTACCCAATGATAACCCAGATGGGTTGAATAGGATACTGTTGTTTAAATTACTGCCACTACAGGCAGCACTGTCGCAATACATGGGCACACTGGGCACTTGCCCCAGGATCATAGGGGCTCCATGTTAATCTGTGTATGTCAAGTCTTCTTCTTCTTTTCTCCTCTCAGTGACATCAGGTTGTAGCCCAGTGTCGTGGTTTTCTGTATTTGTCTTGATGATGTTAATCTTTTTACAGGTTTCAGCTACGCCATTTATCCATATTTTTCTTGGTCTTCACCTCACCTTTCTTCCAGATGTTCTGCTGTAAAAATGTGCACATGCACTTTGGTCTGGTTGCATTCTCACTAGATGGCTGAAACATTTCATTCTCTGTCATGTCAATATAATCCAGACACCGTCTTATTCCATCTTCCTCTCTAATGAGGGTATTCACAAACCTGTCTCTTCTTGTGTTGTTGGTGACCTTATGGAGACAGCACCATGTCCTATTAATTGTACATGTTTGGCAGTGATAGCATAGAATAGGGATAAAGATGCTATTTAAAGTCAAGTGGCTTGCCGTACATAAAAATGTCTGCTATCCTCCCAATAATGGTCCCAAATTATTGAGGCCAAAAATATTCCCAAACAGGGCCTTAGTCACATGTCAATTTCGGACTTCCAGGGACTATACCGCCACCGCCCACAGTATCTCTCATGACGCTACGCGCGGCATGGAATGGAAATAATGAGCAAATAAAATTAAGGAAGCTGCAGGAGATGCGGTAGCTGCTGCTGGTGAGTCCCAGCCATCTAGTTTAGCCCCAATCCAGGCTGCGCGTAGCGGCGTGGGAGATACTCTCGGCGGTGGTGAAATACGCTTGAAAAGCGCAATTGACACTTGACTGAGGCCCTGTTAGGGTATATTTTCGGCCTCGATAATTTGGGACCGTTATTCGGAAGATTGCCAAAATGTCCTTCCTGGGACTGTGAGTAGTTGTAGTAGTAGTAGAGCAGTAGGCACTAAGTTGTAGTAGTGGTTCCCTCCATACCTTTTTGCCCATGAGTGCATAATATTACTAAGACGGCTCTAACTACAGGTAAAATCTGAAGGTGACTAGACAATACAGTGGACAACAACAGCGAGTCAGGCATTGAGAGAAGCATGAAGTAGAGACAGACAATTTGAATTAAGAGACTTCATAGAGACATTCTATTTTCAAGCTAGGCGGGACCTTTGACCTCAGACGGTACCGAAGCTTTCTATGACACTGTGACTGTCACTAAATAAAGTCTCATTGTTCTACTAATAAAATGATTTAAAGAAAGCTTCACACGAAGACTTCAAGTGTAACATATATTAGTTAGTGAGAAAGAAAAAAAAACCACGACTTTTATTTTCTCACCTTTCCTTCTTATAGAAGTCTTATATTTAATTAATTTTGTTTCGTTTCTTCGCAAATCCTAAATTTTCATAGTCAACATAAAGACAGGGTATCATCATCATCAATCAAATTTCTAATAATCAGGAATGTCCTGAAAAGTAAAGGTGATCGGCATTTTCTAAATGATGTGGTCAGCATTGCCGACCGCCTTTACTTCCAAGGACTCCACTTGGGACCTATTTAAGGCTTGATTGCCCGCCTCTCTAGCGTAGTTGGCTAAACCGGATTGCGCGGTGATTGTGGTCCGGGTTCACTCCGGGGGTGGGTAGAAAAGTCAAATTTCTCCCAGATTTACGGTATTTAAAATGGAATCAAGGCTGAAAGGTTGCGATATCCATAATACCGAGCTTAATGGTTAACAACTCATGGCTTCTGGATACTAAAACAAACAAGATAAGGCTTGATCGAACTGGAAGCCCCCCCCCCCCCCAAAAAAAAAAAAAAAGTCTGGAACAACCTGGACCCGAACCCACGACATTCCGATCCGCAGCTGAGCGTCTAGCGGCTACACCACGGGAGCTCCCTAATTTTTTTTTAATGACCGATATGTAATTTGTATTGTTTTACACATTCTTCTTCTTGTTTCGTTCGCCCGAAATAGATTATCTATATCTGCAGTAATGGTAGTTACAAAGAAAACTTACCCTCCAAAATGCAAAATCAAAGTAAAAGGGACAAATTTCAAGCAAGTTGATATGTTTGAGCACTTGCGTACCCTGATAAAATCAGATGGAAGAAGTATTAAATACATTAAATGTAAAATAGCTCAAGCGAAAGCAGCATTTTACCAAAAAAAAAAAAAAAAGACTATTTTATGCAGTCTTTCTTTGCCAGTTAAGACAATACATATAATTCTTAAAAGCATTATAAACCCCTATCTTGATATACTGAAGTGATGCATGGACAGTTGGTAGGAAGATAACTAATTGCTCACATCAGAAAGAGACAATCTACATTTTTTGGTCACGTGATGAGGAGAAAACTGGGGTACATCGTGACAGAAGGAAAGTTGGAGGGAAGGAGAGGCAGTGGGAGACCGATAGATAAGATGCTTGACAGTTTGACAAATCCAGCTGGGACTCGCTCATGTCCACGGCCGGTGTTCGAAACCGGGCGGTTCTCGGGGTTCACCCAGCCTCTAGATAATGGGTACCAGAGTTAACACTCTGGGTAAATGGAGGAACGTCGCTGTAGCTACGGAGTTGCGTGCGGACGGCGACACAGGCGGAAAGTTTTTTTCAGCTGTCCGTACTGGTGGCAGAGCACTTACGGTTTATAACCGTGTGCAGTGACGCTGGTTCACTTCTCAAGACTTTACCTTTTTACCTTTTAGTTTGACATCATGGCATGGAGGATCATCTGTGTCAGAGTTGATCGACTGAACTACAAGAGACAAAAGGTTGTACATAGACACGAGTAGCAACGCCAAATGGCATGGAATTAAGAAGAAGAAGATATCTACAATGTTGTTTCTAATATGAACTTCGCTGTCTTTTATAATTCACTCAGCGACTCGTAAGGTTGGGAACAACTGGTGTTTCTCTTTGCCAGAAGTGTTGCCTTGATACTCCTAAATAAACAGAGGGGGGATTTCCATGAAGCCGTACGTTCGATTTCCGGCACGGTAACTATTGCTTTCGATTTTTATTTTATCTAGTGTGTCCATCTATTTTCTACTTTTTTTTCCTATTAGTGCTAATCAAAAAACTGTCTGTCTGCCTTGACACTGCACATACATCTTCTGACAGAAGTCCTAAAGAATGCGAAACTACAACAAGAAGGCGTTTACTTCCGGCATGGATGACGTCAGTTTTCATTATCATATTTTTGCAAAGAGGCCGACGGAGACATTTATATGATCTACTTCATTCTTTGTTGATAAGCCCACTTTTGTCTTCTTTGATTTCACATGTTAACAAAAGACAACAGTGAATAGACCAGTTGTTACATGTGTACGTAAACAAACTGGTAGGAGCAGATCAACGACATCGTTGTAATGTTACTTTTCTGACTTTTTAAGACTACGCAAAAAATTGGGAGACCAGGGAACGGCCGCTGAGTGAATCGGCGGTTTAGCTTAGTTTTGTTCGACTACTGACGTTGAGTGAGACGGACCACCCGTTATTTGATGTTGGAGGGTAAGCAAATAATAGTAGAATCTTATATTTAACTAAGTATTTCAATACATTTTCTCAGATTAACCAAATTGAATCAAGTAAATATCACCTGCTTTCCAGTCCCTGTACAACCGATCATCATAATGAGCCGTGCCGATAAGACAAGTGTAGCCCTGACTGTAAGATGTTTCGCCCTCTCTCGTAATCACTACAATCACCGACCAGATCACTGTTCTTAACTCACCCCACCCATATCGCTAAACCATCCATGTTTTTATTCATCCATTTGCCTCTTTTCACCAATTTTGCCAGTTGTAATCACTAATCAAGTAAGTTGTCTCCAGTCCACTTTTTTAATGCATGGAAACTACGGCTCTACTGGCAAATCCGGACGAAGAATAAACAAAGACTTGGACGACTTAGTCAGAGTTATCTCCCGTCGCCGCACTCCGAACAGTAATCGGAAAACAAACGAAACAAACGACAAACTTACCTATCATCCTGCGGTTGCGTGTAGGGCTGCGTACGGTTGCGTGAGGCATTGTGAATGGTTGTGTAGTCATCATCATGCGGTTGTTGGATAAGAGTTAGGGGTAGGGGTAGGGTTAGGGTTAGATGTGAAAATTTTGACGTAGGATTTCGAAATACTGGCCGACAATATGATGTTTGTGGGAGTGGCGCCACTGAAACGCTGCCAAATATGATGCCAATAGCGTGCGGCTGGTGCCCCCAATCGTTGGCGAATTGTGCGTGTGACCAGCATCCAGAGGCCCTCGATTGTTTGTTTGTGTGTATGGGACTGTGCGCGATTATAGGGAACTCCGGCGTCAAAATTGTCAAATCTAACGCTAATCCTAACCCTACCGCTAACCCTAATCCCTACCCCCCTAACCACGCAAATGTATCGATCATTAAAGCATACAAATCGACAAACACCAACAAACAAAACACACCCAAAAAAAAAACACCCAGAATTGTCCTGCAGTGTCGAAAAAAAAACCAGATCTGGGGGAAACAACCAAGCATTGGCAGCCCTGATGTCGACGTGACTGTCTTCTTTGTTTCGTTGTGAACTCTCACTAATTCGTCCAAGGCTGTTTATTCTTCGTCCGGATTTGCCAGTAGAGCCGAAACTACTGTCATAGGGATTTATGTCAAAATTTATATATGGGTTTTTTACTTCTAATCCAAGACAGCTGGATAGAGGCTGAAAAACATGAGTCCAATGGTACCTCGCTATAGTCTGTGTGTCAATTCTAAGCGGAGATATTCATATTTATGATCATCATGTCTTGTCAAATTTACATTCATTCATTTCTCTGTCTAATCATTTTACTATTTGTATCTCTCTCAGTGAAGACTGCTTAACTGATTTTATTCTGTCATTTAGGGATGCTAATGAAGTTTTGAAATGGTTTGCCCACTTAGAGAGATGCCTTGTGACACCATACTATACAAAGCATACATGGAAAGAGAAGAAGGATGTAGAGCACGAGGTAGACCAAGAACAATATGGAAGGATAACATCAGAGAAACTCTACAACAGCACTATGTGCCTATGGTCGAGGCGGCCAGAAGAACTAGAGACAGAACCTTATATCTCCCTCGACACCCACAGCGGTAAACGAAGTTTTATATATTGGGTTTTTACATGTGAAACCACCACCACAGCTGGATATAGATTACAAAAAACATCCAAAGATACGATACTGCATTGAAGCCTGTAAATAACTTTAATGGCGGATACCACTATGGACAAATTATAGTGGAATCTGACAAAAGATGGATTCCTGGCTGCCTACAGCCTTGTCACCACTCCTCAAACCTCGGCTCTACCTCAGCTCTTGTCTGAGAGAAGCCAGCTCTTCTTTCTTGTTCTTTCTTGCTATATTATGATTTTATTATTACTTTCAACTTCTTATAAATTTTTCTTACTGTTTTTTGTGTTATTTTTTTAAGCGTGTGAATTCGAGAATCAGGAAGCAGCATTAGCCTCAAACTTAGAAGACAACTGTAGAGTCCATACTCCCGTTTGGGCGGAGACCTATAGTCTGAGTGTTGGTCTTAGAATGTCTGGTGAATCTGCAAATCGTTCTCTTACTACTACTTGCACAGTATCCTCCAAAGGAGACTCCAAGTACGTGAAATTGAATGTTGGGGGTACACTTCATCTGACTACAATCGACACACTGTGTAAGCAGGACACCATGCTGCGAGCCATGTTTAGTGGCCGGATGGATGTACTTCACGACAAGGAAGGTATGTGTTTTTTATAGGTCAGAGATTGTCTTGATCGGCAAAATCTCCCTGTTTAGGTTCTGGGGCCCCACTATTGGGGTGGGGGGGGGGGGCGGGGGAATAGACCCACTAGCTCCCAAGCATGTCATAAAAGTCAACAAATTATTGGTTTCCTTCGAAGTCGGTGAAGTCAGATCCCTCAAAGTCCGAGTTCATCTGCCGGTGAGGCAGGGAAAGGCAAACAAATAAGCCAGTAAAACAGATGTACATGCAAAACTCAAGTCCAGATAAAAGCCAAAAGTCAAAATGGATGAACTACCGGGACCTTCTGCCGGAATTCACAGCTGTTAAACTAAAAAAAAGAAGAGCAGTGAGACCCAAAAAAAGAACTGACACTTTCAATTGGGTCTGGTTCCGTGTAAATATTTGTTCCCAACTTGCCTGTCGTGACCTGTTTAGGGTATAGTTCTTTGCTGTTCAACTAAGTTTACTCAAGTGCCAAAATGTTGATAAATATTATCATCACTGGCCAGACACCCGAGCCACACAATAGAACGATCATTAATACAGTACAACTGGCAGTGATTTAATATCATCCGCGGGCCATTTGCTATGCATCCGCTGGCCACCAGTTGAATAGCCCTGGAATAGTTGATGCGTCGGCTCTGTGGCTAAGTCGATGTGAACGCTTCGGGATGCCAGGTTTGATCCCAACTTGCATTGGTTTCGACAGTGGTATCAAGAAAGCCGACCGTCCAGAAAGCAATGGCAAACTACTGGACATAAATTTGCCTAGAAAAACCGCACAACAGCCAGTGGCTGTTGGAGTTGGTTCTGCAACGTCCTGTAAAGGATACGCAACTAACCTAACTGTAGTTGATGCGGTTTGCTGAGTTCGCACTTGCTAAAACATTTAGGTCAGGATATGAATACACTAACCAGTTGTGGCATTTAGAGGAGTTTTTACATTTTAAAGTCAACACGTCAGATTTTGTCAGAAGCTTCAGTGGTAAAGGTCACAGGGTCATGACATGAGTTGCCCAATGTGTGCATGTTTTTTAGGCCCTGGGGGATGTATTCTATTGAACGCTTCACCCCATTTGTGCTTATTAATTACTTCTTCTTCTTCTTTCGTTCGCCTATTAATTACTTATTTCATATATCTTTAAAGAATTAAAAAAAATAATTTTAAAATGTAAATACGTTTTTATCGAATTTATTGGTGACCTGTGTAAAAGTATGTTATTTTAATGGATTTTTCAGATCAGGAATCTAAACGGGGTCATTACCTTTTTTAGTTAAGAGTTCTAGGATCTGAAGTATTCTGAAGAGATATAATAGTTTATTCTGTTGTGTTGTACTTAATCACAGAAGTATTGAGGTAGATTCTTTAGAACAAGATGCTGTGGAAAAAAGGGCAGGGGCCAGCCAGCACAAAGATGGGCACATGATATCAGGTAACACCTTTTGGAGGAAAGTGCACGAGGCAAGAGAGCTCTTGAGAGACAAGAGTTTCTTTCAGGCAGAGTAAAATAAGAGCGACGTTCTGCAAATGACCTGCTGCATAGTGATCTTTTTTTTCGCGATCACTGGATGTGAAGTCCAGTAGAAAATTTTTGTTGTTCGTCCACTCATTTACTATAGTCTTGCTGCAAAACTTGCGTTTTGCATACCCATTCATGTGACAGAACTGACTTATATGTGAGCAGACTGTTGGTTCCTCACCTCTTAAGCATATGCACACCAACTTCAAAGGAAACACTCCTAATAAGTCACCTTTTACGACATGCCTCCTCCACAAACAAGGCCCCAGATTACACACACAGAGACTACATCATCATGATTATAATTTTTTATTTTACAGGATGGGTGCTGATTGACAGATGTGGCAAGCACTTTGACACTGTCCTGTCTTTCCTGCGGGATGGCTCTATCACACTGCCAGATTCCCGACGCGAGCTTGATGAGCTACTTCAGGAGGCCAAGTACTACTGTGTCCAGGAACTGGGTATGGAGAGGTCCCCCCCCCCCCCCCCTTTTCCCTTCCCCTCTCCCCCCAAAGCCGCCTTTACTGGCATTTAATTTCTGGGATATCCTCTGTCTTCTTCTTCTTCTTTGCTTTCGTCGGCTGTAAACTCTGGCAGAAAGTCCTGGTTGGTCAGTAGGCCAAGTACTACTGTGTCCAGGAACTGGGTTTGAAAAGGTGCCGTTCCCCCCCCCCCCCTCCCCACCTTTTTTCCCCCAGCTTCCTTTACTGGCAGTTGGTTTTGTCTTCTTCTTTTTTTTGCGTTCACCGGCTGTAAACTCTGGCAGAAAGTCCTGGTTGTTCGTTCGTCTACTCCTAGACTGTAGTCCTGTGCCAGATCTGACTCATTTATATGCAGACTGCTGGTTCCTTACCTCTCAGGCAGATGCACTCCCACTTTGAAGGAAGCTCCCATTTAGTCGACTCTTGCGACATGTTTTTGGGTAAGCAGTAGGTCTTTTCTTGTTTTCCTTACTTTAAGGCCCCAGAACGTATACAGTTCTTAATTCACCAGCTGTAAACTCTGGCGGAAAGTCCTGGTTGTTCATCCGTTTCTGAACTTTAGTTTTGACCAACACCTTCTTCTTCACATTCTCCAACTGTAAACCTGATCAGTGATTCTGGTGAGCATGTGAGTCGGCAAGACATGACACCCTATGCTTGTCAACATGTTAGATGATGATTATGAGTTTAGTTGTATGGTCATTCTCTGCTGGCTACCTCTCATGATATGTCCATTGTAGCTCTAGCTTTGTCTCTCTCATGATATGTCCAGTGTAGCTCTGTAGCTTTGTCTCTCTCGTATGTCCAGTGTAGCTCTGTAGCTTTGTCTCTCTCGTGATGTGTCCAGTGTAGCTCTATAGCTTTGTCCCTCCCATAATGTGTCCAATATAGATCCATAGCTTTGTCCCTCTCATGGTGTGTCCAATGTAGCTTTGTCTTGTAACTGTTGATGCTAGTGGTCATCCAGAGATTTTTCTTATTTTTTCCACCTTTTTTGAATTCATTCCATTTCATTTGCATCGCTGTCCTGTGGCATTATGTCATGCAGTGACCATATCACAAATAACGAGATTTATTTTGTTATCACCCAACACATTGGCAACTATGAACCTCTTATAACAACATGAAAAGGCGGGGAAAAAGTGTTGCAGACGTAAGTCTACTGTTCTCTCTCAAATATGCTACAATGCTCAGGAGAGGGGAAAAGGCAGGCCAAAAAAAAACCTGGATACAAAATTCAATTTACTGCACAGACTGCAGACATCAATTCAGATCCAGTGCATCTGCCGGCAGAGGAGGAATAAGCTGGTCAGATGGTCAGCATTCATATGCATGATCAGGGGTCGGGGGGGGGGGGGGGGGGAATAGACCAATGCCTGTCTAACAAGCATGCCATTAAGGCAACTAATTAGGGGTTTCCCCCGTCAAAGTGCACCTGACTGAGAGGCAAGAAACAACAGTTTAATAATCCTGTAGTTGCCTTGCAGGTTCCCAGACCCTGTTTTAGGGGACAAAAATGAATGCTGGAGTGCATCTGCTTTAAATGCTGGGAACTAACAGTATTGCTTACAACTGAGCCAGATATGTAAAACTGGTGCGCATGCAAAACTCAGGTTTTGGAACAAGTCTAAAGTCCAGAAGTGGACATACAACCAGAACTTTCAGCTGGTGAACACGAAGAAGAAGAAGATGTAACTTGACTATTTGCAGAATGTCACTGTCATCACAGCCCACATGAAAGCGACTCCATCTCTCGCCGTGTGCACATTCCTACCCAAGGTGTCTTTTATCTCTGTAAAACAGATGGGCACGCAAAACTCAAGTTGTGGAAGAAGACTAAAATCCAGAAGTAAAATGCACAGGCAGAACTTGTCATTGGAGTTTACAGCCGGTTGGAGTTTACAGCCAGTTGGAGTTTACAGCCAGTTGTTTACAGTCGGTTGGAGTTTACAGTCGGTTGGAGTTTACAGCTGGTTGGAGTTTACAGCCAGTTGTTTACAGTCGGTTGGAGTTTACAGCTGGTTGGAGTTTACAGCCAGTTGTTTACAGCTGGTTGGGTTTACAGCTGGTTGGAGTTTACAGCTGGTTGGGTTTACGGCCGGTGAACATGAAGAAGAAGAAGATCTGTTGTAACCGATGATCCAACAACATGTGGTGTTATAGAACAATAATGATGTTGAATTGAGAATTCCATATGTTGATGTATTAATTTTGTTTGCTTCTGCTGTGTAGTTCGTCAAGTGGAAGTAGCGTTGAACACACATGACCCAGAGCCCATCTGTCAAGTTCCCCTGATCACATCATCCCGGGAAGAGCAGATCCTTGTGTCCACAACTGCAAAGGTAGTACACTCTCATCTACTGATGCACTATGCATACACATAGATGCTGTCTCTACCATGGACAGTGTCTTAACCCTTTCACCTCGAGAACCCAAAGAAAAATAAGTCATGACCCCGTTAGGATTCCTAAAAAAAAAAAAAAAATCTATAAAAACCATCAGTTTTTACACAAGTCATAAAAAAATTTATTTAAAACTCGTTTATAAACATTTGTAATTTATTTTTTTAAATATGCCATCTGGCAAAGGCACTCATGCGTCTCCACAGATCACGATCCCTGGTTGCATGGAACAGCTCTCTTGATGATATCCCTCCATGCCATCATTTCAGCCCATCCAGCATCATCTCTCTTGGTCTGCATCTACCCCTCCTACCACTGATCTTTCCAGTTGTCACGATGTTCTCCAATGTCTCTCTTCTCATTATGTGGCCATATAACAGTATTTGTCTCTTTCTTGTTGTTGCATATAGAGATCTATTTTCATTAGCTTCTTTCAAGCAATTGTTGTTAGTTACTCTGACCGTCCAAGGTATTCGTAACATTCGTCTCAGAAATCACATCTCCGATACTTCTAAATTCTTCCTGATCTGTTCACTGACATTCCAAGATTCGTTGCCAAACAGCAGGACAGGTTCTGTGTAACATTTTAGCACCCTCTTTCTTTGTTTTCTCATGAGTTTTCTTGGAAAAATAATGTGGTGGTTTCCCGTTGCCTTCCACATCCACATGGGGTATTTCAACCTGCACCTTTGACAGTAACTTCCGACTGTCAGGACAAGTGGGTGCCCTTCTCTGCTGAGTGATCCACTTATTCCAGTGGAGACTCGGCTCCCATATCTGCGTTAGCCAAACCATGGTGTGTTTCCCACCCTCCACCACTTGGAGGTGCAGTTTGGGATTGTCACTTTCATTAAATTTGAGACCAGTATGGCATTTTGAAATATATATAAAGATATTTAAAAGGAGTAATTAATAAGCATGAACTGGGCAAAGCATTTAATTGAGTACATCTCCTGAGGCCTTTAAAACACACGTATTGGGTGACTTATGGCAACACCTTTACCATTAAAGCCTATGAGAAAATCTGAGGTCATCTTGGCTTTATAAAAGCCCTTAACCGCAAAGAAAAGCCTCTCTTAAAGCCTTTGATAGTTAATTTATTCATATTCTGACCTCCTAAAGGGTTGCACAGGTGCAAACGCAGCCAATTACCTGATTTTGTTTTTCTTTGAAATATGTTTTAGCATACCTTCATAAAGCTGGGTTCGATCCCAGCTGCGGGCTTTGTGCCTTGCATTGGTTTCTAAAGTGGTAACAAGAAGCTGAACGCCCAGAAAACAATGGCAAACTACTGGACGTAGATTTGCCTAGAAACACCACAACAGCCAAAAGATGCTAAGGTTTGTTCTGCAATATCCTGCAAAGGATAGGCAACTAACTTGTTAACATAATTCATAGCTTTGTTAGTCGGGCTGTAGTGTATTTAAAATATGTCCTGTAGCCATCTATCATTTTCTTGTTTGATTTCCTCCGCAGCCTATCGTGAAACTCATCTGCAATCGGCACAACAACAAATATTCATATACAAGGTGAGTTGTGCATCAGCAGGTCGTGGGGGAGAGTCAACCAGCTATACATTAAATGTTAAAACTATGGACCAAGTTTCATTAAGCAATCTTTGTTTGTTTTTGAGATAATCTAGGCTCAATAGCAAATACAGACTTGGCCATTTTCTATATAAAGTAGGATGTTTTCAGTAAATAACCGCGGAAATGTGTCGGTTTAAGCCCACCGAATTAGTTATCCTTAAATCTGTAATCTCCTGGTGCTGGACAGCCTAGCATATGATCCACAACATTCAGCTTAAGAATGGAGGTGGAGGCGGTCACTGCAGCTTTCCCCTGGCTAGAGAACACGATACACACACAGTCATGATTGTAACTGACCCAGAAAGCATGCTGAGGAAGGTGAGGTCACGCGTGCTTCGTGCGGAGTGGCATGCTTCGCTTTGTAGGTCACAGGCAAAGAGAAGTGTCTGGATCTTTTCTCAGGCATATGCCGATGTGGTGGCAAATGAACAGGCGGACAAATTGTTAGCCTTTGCACAACCTGATGGAATATTGTGGCATGATAACGCAGATGTAGTCAAGGCACATGTACAGTTTGGAACAGAACATTGATCCTCACATTATGGTGAGGATGATGCAGCGGGGAGTGAGGAGAGGATCTGGCAGATACTTGACGCTCAGAGGAAAGGCAAGAAGGGTGTATAATGAGACTGCTACTGTCACCATTGGAATTGGAACTCTCCACTGGCTGCTGAAGATGGCATGGGGACTGAGCACTTATAGGAAAGCCCCGAGTGCTGTCGGTTCTTGAATCAGCTCAATTCATGTCATGGAAGAAGGCCAAAATTCAGAAGTGGTCAAACAACCAAGATTTTCCCCTTGAGTTGACAGTTGGTGAACATGAAAAAGAAGAACATTCTGAATAAAGGCTTGGGAAAATGTTTCCTGGGCAAAGGAATACGGCCAAACCAGCATGTAGTTTAACCCTTTTAGCACGGGAAGTTTTTCAGAGGTCTAGCCAAAAACACGGAGCATTTTTTCAGTGAATTTGGTTATTACTTTATTTAATTTTTTTGACAGATTTCTGTTATTCTGACCCCTATGAAATAATATATCTATTTGAAGAATATAGATTGAAGTTCGTGATTTTCACAATATCGTTAAAATTAATTGATGTAAATGCTAATTATCTCATTTGCATATCTAAAAATAGAAAATATGAATTTGAATTTTCAACTTCAATGCTTGAAACATAAAACTAAAAACAAAATTTTTTTTTATTTGAAATCTTTTTATTGATCCTTGGCCTTTTTACAAATGTAAGCAATTCAATAGTCAAAAACAGGTATATATATGTGAAACAGCAATAATATCTTTAGGTGACATGTGTTTTTCACCATCAGTCAGCACTAGAAATGGATGAGCCGGAGTGTCAACACCTTCGGGTGGATATACCCTGAGCCATGGTTGGGCTGTGGTCTGAACACAACAGCGTCCCAATCTGATTCCCACTATTACTACTAACACTAAATCCTGCATCAGTATCAACAGAATTAGTGTCATCACTTGATTCAAATGTTTTATCAACATCAAGTTTAGGGGCAGAAACATACGAGTCAGACATACTTTTAGCGGTTCAGGTCACTATCTAAAAAATTCAACAAAAATTTTCACTTCGATACCAAACACTCGAAAGTCGCCATGTGTAAAGCTGATACCGCAGTAAATATAAATGAATCACTTTCAGTGTTTCAAAGTAGGAGATTTCTTAGCGGTTCGAGGCGAAACACGATCGGGCCGATCATCGGCCGTTCCGTGTTTTTGGCCAGACATCCGCCGGCCGATAATCGGCCCGTCCGTGCTAAGAGGGTTAATACTAGTTCAGTTCCATCTTCTTTCCTGATATCGTCATTTCTGATCCTGTCTCCTCTAGTTACGTTTAGGATTCCTCACTGACGTTTCATTTTCTCTTGTTTTGATGGTACTGTTGTTGTTAATGTCCACTTTTGCACTGGTAACACAATGTTGCTACAAATACTGTATTGAATAGTGTGCTATTTTAGTGTCAGTGATACATGTTCTGCAAGTATATATCTGATTTATTGTTTCTTTGTGCAAGATTGAATCCACTACCAGCTTGCTAGGCCTGTCACAGTTTGTTGTGTAAGTAGTTGCGGACCCTTTTCCACGCCTTCACGCTAGACCTGTATTTTTATAGACCAGTCAGCACTAGGTGGGTGATCTGGTCAGCACCGTGCCGGCCGCCTTTACTTCCCAGGAATATAACTGGTACCCACCCAAGGATGGGTCAGTTTGAAAGCCAACGTCATGTTTTTGTTGTCTGCCACTTATTCGTGTTGTGTCTGCCGAGTACAGTTTGTATTGTGTCTGCCACAAATAATTTGTTTTGTGTCTGCCACGTATAATTCTTATTCTATTGTGTCTGCCACGTACAATTTGTATTGTGTCTGCCACGTAAAATTCTTATTCTATTGTCTGCTACGTATAATTTGTATTGTGCCTGCCACAAATAATTTGTATTGTGCCTGCCATGTATAATTCTTATTGTATTGTGTCATGCTACGTATAGTTCATATTGTGTCTGCCACGTATAATTTGTATTGTGTCGGCCACATCTGTCTAGTATTTTGTTCACTCTGCTAGCATGTCAGATGACAACCTCTTGAAGAACATGGAACTCTTTGACAAGCTGTGTTTGCGATTCAACGGGCGGGTGCTCTTTATCAAAGATGTCATTGGCAGCAATGAGATTTGCTGCTGGTCCTTCTATGGACACGGACAGAAGATTGGAGAAGTCTGTTGTACGTCCATTGTGTATGGCACGGACAAGAAGCATACCAAGGTAAATGGTGGTTTTAAATCTGTCAGTATCAGAAGTTTTTCTATGTGATGCCAGTTAAGAAATTCCATGCTTAAGGGGGAGGCAGGTATACAATCAGACAGTTACTGGTGCCATTGGAGTTAAAACTCTTCGCTTCCTGCTGAATGAAGATGGAGACGGAGTGCTTATGGGGGTGTTCCGAGTGCTATGATGTTGATTCAGCATTCCCTGATAAAAAAATTCATCAGAGAATTACTGTCAGAGTAGTAGTGACTATTGGATAAGCCAGATTTCTTAAGTGTGTTCTTACCAAATACAAAAGTAAGACTGGCATATTAAGCTAAACAGGATTAAGCGGATAAGATGATTCAAATATCATGCTTGGGACTCAAAGAGTTACATATCTTGTCTTTGGTGCTTATTAATACAAAGACAACTCAAGAGAGGATGATATACCATACAAGGCTTACACTAAAAGAGAAGAAGGATGTAGACAGTGAGGTAAACCAGGAACAAGACACGTCTGTTGGACGTCCATTATTGATGGGACAGACAAGAAGCATGCCAAGGAAAAGGCTGGTTTAAGATGTAATGTTTCAGAAGCCTGTTACATGCTTCTTTTTCTTCTCTAGTCCTGTATTGTCAGCGTCAAGTTTTGAAGAGGCATCAGATGAGAGCCCTGGTATGTGCTAGGTAGATGCTGGATTCATGGCCTTGGATTGGCCATCATGGTCGACCTCTGGCTCTTCTTCCACTATGTGAGGAGCCAACAAAATATGGCATACAGGTAATCCGGATCTTAAAGTGGACGTACACGCAAAGCACTAGCTCTAGAACAAGACCAGCATCCAGAAGTGGTGGAACCACCAGAACTGTTTACAGCTAGGAAACACAGTGCCGTCTTAAGTCATGGGCCTGCTGCGTGCTTGCTCAGGGCTCCCACAAGGATAGGGGGCCCCATACTGATCTTTGTGTAGCAAGTGACTTGCCATAATAAAAATGTTATTTCTCTGAGTGTTTGTCCTAGGGGCCACAGCACACTGGTTTGCCCAAGGGCCCATAATGCTGTTAAGACGGCTCTCTGTGAACCTGAAGGAGATTCACGAGTAAAACCTTGTTTTCGAATTCTGTAGTTTATGTTGGAATGGCTAATGACAGTAGAACATTACATACAACAATAAGAAGGAGACAAAGGTTCTTTGGTCATGTGATGTGAAGAGGAGCACTGGAAAATATGGTGACTGAAAAGTTCACTGGTAAAAGAGGCAGACCATGAGAAATGATAGATGGCTTAAGACGGTGGCATGGAGGAATATCATTAGCGGAATTGATCCAAAACACCAAAGAACGAGATCTGTGGAGATGCATGTATGCCTGCTGGCAAGGCACTTGATAATGATATTGTGTGTATTCTTTCTGTCTACAGGTTGAATTCCCAGAAGCGAGAATTTTTGAAGAGACCCTCAACGTGTTGCTGTACGAACATCGTGGGAAAGGCCCTGACGCAGAACTCCTGCAGGCAACACGGGGCTACCGAGAGCGTGGCAACGGTTACCACAGTGACGACGAAGAGGACAAGCTGGACAGAGCCATGCGTAGGAAATGATTCCTGTGCGGCCAGTTTGGTGTACCATTGGGCTCACTTGTGCAGTTTGTCTGCGTGTTCTTTAGCGATTGTTTCCTGTGTGTCTTTTCTGACATAGAGCATGAACAAGACAGTGCGACTGAGGTTGTCACTGGCCTTCCACAATTTATCTTGTAGGATTGCTTCTGCAGTACTCCATTCTCTTTCTGGCAAATTCTGGGGTAGCCATGTGGGGTGCGCTTCAATGTTAAGTACATGGGTGCTCTTTTCACTAGCTCCACAAGCGAATGTAATGTTACTTTGGCTGATATATTGTTGGTGGAGACTTATGATATTGTTGGTGGAGACTTATGAAGCCGCCGGCACAGCGAGAGTTCATTCCTTTGCCATTTGTGCCACGGCGGGTCGCGCATGGTCTGTCCTATATTGTGAGTGTGCTATGAGATGGCTTCATTCGGCGTTTGCTTGCCGTATATAATGTTTATGAAAGGTTATGTTGTCGTGCGTTTCTTTGAGGCGCCACTGTTCACGAGTATTGAAACTGGGATGTTTTTGTATTTCTTGGCGGTCCCCCTCCCAGAAAAAGACGCCACGGACAAGGAATGTAGGTATACAAAAAACATTGCAGTATTCATACTCCCTAACTGTCTGGCAAGTAGCACAAAATGGAAACTATCCAACGATTGAGCAATGACATGATGAGAAAATAGACAACGGTTAACAGCGTTGAAAATAAGAAATACAGGACATCCCCGCAACTTAGGACATGCTGTGGGACCCGCCGCGACATGAATGGAAAGGAAAGGAACTCTTGTTGTGCTGGCAGGATCATGAGAAGTACCTGTTAGTGTTTATCTCAAGCTTCAGTGTGTCTTAATTTACATCTTTCATGAATGTACTAGCACTGAGCCAGATTTGGACATTATAAAAGGTGAAATTAACGTCTGAGAAATTAGATACCTGAGATAAGTCGCCAACTTAACCATCCTAGAAATAGTTAGAAATATTATCAGACAGGCTGTGGGAACACCATGCAGCAAATTCTTTTAGGAACAGATGGTTTGATGTTTAGTCATCTAGTGAGAAGGCAGCCAGAACAATTACCAACACAGCATGCTACACATAAAAAGGTCTGATGTGAAAACAAAAAGTCGCTGTTGGAGAAGATGGGTTGATGACATTAACCCTTTCGCTGCTATGTACTCGGCTGCCTATGTTACCACTGTGCTAAGCAAGTTCCCACACGAGGTCACTTTAGAATATGGACTGATGACATTAACCCTTCCCTGCTACATACTTGGCAGCCAACGTTATCACTGTGCTAAGCAAGTTCCCTAGTGACCATCTCTCTCCAATGCTGAATACTTTTCTATCCTCTAAAAGCAAAAGATGCGTTAACGGTGAAGGCTATATTTTGTACACCTAAAAATATTCACCCTAGTGAGGTGTGTGGTCAATCCGGAGAGCAAGCAAGGTCGTAAAGGAGGAAGAAGGCACTTTTATCAATCTGGATCAGCCCCAACCCCTGGACAAGAGTAACCCTGACTAACGTGCTGGGATGTCAACATGGACAGCAAGCAAGGTCGTCAAAGAGGAAGAAGACATTTTCACAAAGCAGGATCAACTCAAAGTTTTGTCACTTCTGGGAATGGAACCTAGACCAGTCTCCGTAAGCAGGTGAGCCAGCCACTGCGCCACCATATCTATGTGTGCTTATATGCTGTAATATATACTTTATAATATATAATAAATGACATTTATACATAGAAACAAGACCTGCAGTTCCTTGTCCGAATGTTTTCGGAGTCTGGAGTGGCCAGGTCCCTGTTTGTTTCAGGGTCTAATGTATAAAAAAAAAAGATTCTATCTAAATTATGTCATTTTTTTCTCTGTTGAAGTGTATTTATGTTTAAATGTATTGTATTAACAATATATAAATTTGTTTTTAAAAAAATTCATTTTTGTATGAAAATTGTGTTTTATTCTTAGCCTTCACTGATAGAAGGTTTTGGTGTTTGTCCACTTCTGGACTCTGGTCTCATTCAAGGGCTTAGTTCTGTGTGCACATCTGTTTTACAGATCTGGCTTATTTGTATGCAGACTGTTAGTGCCTCGACTATCATGCAGATGCACTCTGACTTAAAAAGGAATCACCCTTAATTGGTTGTCTTTTATGACATGCTTGTCAGGGAAACAGTGGGTCTATTCCCCCCCCCCACCCCCCCAGGAGTCTCAGAAACCACACGGGGAAAAATTGTGTTATGATCGATGGAAGACGCAGTGGGATAGTCGTCAGGCGCTCACCTAAAAAGTCTTGGGTACCAATCCTCACAGACGGCAAATTTTTTCCAACACTACCTTTGGCCCCCTATGCCTACAGTTGGTACCAGGTAATGTCCATGGGAAGTAACGCCAGCTGAATTTTCAGTAAATGTAGTTTTTAAAAAAAAAAGTAAAGATCCCTTTTCACGTCTAAGGTGCATCCTGCATATGGGAAGAGCATCCATATGTTTACAGACCAATTGGCACTAGGTGGGTAATGTGGTCAGCATTATGCCGGCCGCCTTTACTTCCCCAGGAGATACATCCTGGTTCCCATTTTAGGCTGGGTTGACCTGCGACACTCTATACCATGATAAAAATCCACGGAGCCAGCAGTGGGTTTCGATCCCGGTACGTTGGAATTATGAGTCGGACTTGCAACACCTAAGCCACGGACGCCGCTTTTTAATGAATATGGGTAGCATAATATGCCACAGGCGTCAAAAGTTTTACTTTTAAAAATTAGGATAGACATTACTGTAAGGATGAGCAGGCTACTGCCGTATGGGTGGTCGGCTACTTTATAGGTTCACTGAGAGAAGAGTCTTCATGGATCAAGTGGGCAGACAGGCAGGGGGAGTAAGCAGAGAGTCTGAAATGCACAAATGGGAAGAATTTTCATCAAGAAACTGTTGGCCACTGGAGAAGGGAGAGGGAGCATGTGGGTAATGTCCCAAGTGCAGTGATGTTGATTCCTGAACAATCTGATTGATTTGTAGAGCCTCATATTTCTTTCTCGTGGATTGTCTGGGCAGGTCATGTGGGATAGTGAACAGACTGACTGGCAGAGCCATTTCTGGGCAGTCTTGTCTCATGGATTGTCTGGGCAGTCTTGTCTCATGGATTGTCTGATAGTAAGTAAAGTAAAGGACCCTTTTGCTCGCCTTTAGGCATATAGGGCTAGACCTTTATTTTATAGACCAATCGGCACAAGATGGGTGATGTAGTCAGCATCACGCTGGCCGCCTTTACTTCCCAGGACTACCCTCTCAAGGCTGGGAGCCAAGATAATTTTTTTTTAAAGTTTTTCTCCACCAGGGAGCGAACCTACAACCTTCTAATTCGCAGTGAGCGTCTAGTCACTCCGCCACAGCGACTTCCCGTATTTGATAGTGAATGAACTGATTGACTGGCAGCTGCCATTTTTTGGGCAGTCTTTCTCATGGACTGTCTGGGCAGGTCATGTGGGATGATGTGCAAGCTGATTAACTGGCAGCTGCCATCTTCTGGGTGGCAAGCTACTTTACATATTCACACAGAGAAGGCTGTTTAGGATCAAGTCATAGTGCAGCAGATTAGGCATGGGATCTGAAAATGCAAACATGGAAAAAGAGGCAGATTTTTGCACCGGGTTGCATGGCAATAGTTGGCATGTGGAAATGTTCTGAGTACAGTGGTGTTGATTCTTCTTCTGCGCTCATCCGAAGGTGTAAATGGATTGTGCCTGTTTACAGCATGGATACAATATTTGTGCCTTTTGGCAGACAAATCCAACCTCTGCAGGCATTTGTTGTCTGGGGTGTTGATTATTGACTCATATATAAGGGATTACAGTCAAGTCCACTTAAGTCAAATTTCTGTTAAGTTGACATGACCAGCTTAGTCCCGGCAATTTTCTCTATTGTGTGTGCTGTCTGGATAAGTAGAAGTCCTGATAAGTGGAAGCATTTTCTTAGGTCCCTGCAATTTTTACTTATCCAGACTCGACTACTTAGTTTTCTCATAGATAGCTCCATTAGTTGTAGGTGGCTAAGGGGTAAGATGTCCCTACTTCCCATCATGGGGAAAGGCTGCTGGTCCAAGTGGTATCTCAGAAGACACTGTTTAACCTAATAAACTTTTGCAGCAACAACAACACAAATTTTTTGAGCGCAAAAGTAAATGATAAAACTTAAATGTTTGCTGTAATCATTTATTTCCTACTGCTTGTTTAACACATTTAAAACTGTTTACTGTCACATAATAATTCATCATACAGACAAGAACTGCTCAGTGAAATATTTCATCATTCAAACACTGCGTTAAACAAATTAACATTTACCAGTTGGCACCCAGAGAAAGAATGTTGAGAACAAATGTCTTAGAAGTATACTAAATATCCACTGGATAGATTTCAGATCCAGTATGCAAATAAGACAAGACCAAGCAAGATAATGTATCCAATTTTATAAGAAAGCACCGTAGAACTACATCGGCCATGCACTCAGACTGGATAAGACCAGACTCCCCCACCCCCCCCCTTCCAAGCCCTCATATGGACACCGGAAGAGAAAAGAAACCAAGAGAGGCTCTGCTTAAAACCTTTATCAGGGAAGGCTCAACCATGAGCCCAATGAACATCCAAGACCTAAAACAGGTGGCAACGAACTGCCAGACAAGGAGAGCTATGACCTCTGCCCTATGTGCCGCCATAGGTTCATGAGGAGAGACTAACTCATAGAAAGAAGTGCAGATTAGAGGTCACACTAGACAACATAAAAATCAAAAGCTGTAGTTACTATATCAGGACTTGAACCAAGTGCCTGTTAAGTGATTATGGCGCCTTGCTGCAGAAACGAGTGTGCTTTGACTCATGACCAACAGCACCCCCAAAAAAGGTGTCATAATGCTTCATGTCTATCACAGACCTGAAACCACAACTATGTTGTACTGACAGAAGTAGCTTTCAGAAATGTATGATAACCAACCATAGATCAAAT